AAATCTAATTAGGGGTTGCAAAATAACCAACAACCATGTCAAAATAACCAACAGTAAAACACTTTCTCCCTGAAAACTGCAGTCACAATGAGGTCAGTAGGACAGAGCATGCCATCACTGCATTTGAGAGCACAAGAACACCTCCCTGCAGAAAGTGGCCCCGAAACAGAGACCAGGGCCACTGAGACCAAGCCATGCTTCCTTACACTTTGCCCCAAGTGTAAAACCAACCAACCCAGCAAGCTCCACAGGGTCAATACCCACACGCAGCTCATTCACCTCAGTCATCCCTTCCTAGTGTCTATGCACTGCTAACACGACATACCTACCCTTCCTTCTACAAGCTCATATACCTTAAATTTTTTAGTAGGCCAACATTTGCACTCAACTTAGCCAAAATTCCTACCAGTCCAGGACAGCTTCACTAACATATCTCTAAAGTTTTAATTATAAGTTACCTGAATTTATTATTTACCATAATGAAAGACTGAATAAAAAAAGAAAAAGGAAGTGGTCTTACCTACTTTTTTAAACAGCTATCTGACATTATAGCAAAGTACTATTACTAGTGGTCAATGGGTCTATGGTTATGGGTTAATGTAACACAAATTATTTCTGCCATACGATCAGCTTTACAGAGGAAGTAAGCTGTGAGCAAAAGGGGATATATCAGTGGCTGAGCAGCAAAGAAAACCAAATTTTGTCTTACAGAAGATGGAACATAATTACAGAGAATTAACTCCATCTCTCTATGCATATTAAACACACATGGAAGGACACAAGTTATGAACTGCTTACACTACCAAATATCTGTAATATCCTGAGCCTTTCAGACACAAACATCCTGTTTGGATGTTACCATAGTCCTGTGCTGACTGTACCACAAGCCTTTCAGTCTGTTTGCCAGTGGAGAAGACAGCAATACCTGTCTTAAAATCACTTGTTTACAGAGGAACTCCTCTCCTGGAACAGAGAGGCTCAACTGACAACACTCCAAGATCAAAGAAAAAAGTATTGCTGCTATTCATGACTTTCCTCCCCAGAAACTATTCAAGATACTTAGCCAGTAAATCAAGTAAACCAAACCAAAACTAAAAACTAAGTTTGCTGGAAACAAGGACCAGAAAGCTGTGCAAAACTGCAGCACCTGGCAAAGCTCCTCAGGGTAGCACACATCATGTCCAGCCTTCCCCAGAGATACAAGAACTCTGCACAATCAAATCCATTCTATTAAAAATAATTCCAGAATATCAAAGATGGAAGAAAAAAAACATATGGTCTCTTTTTCTTCTTCTAGGCATCATAATGCATTTGCATTCTCTCTCTTTGAGGGTATACACATATGCTATGTACATAGGTATCATGCTATGTACATAGGTATCTACGCATGTATATATATGATTTACTTATTCTTAAGTTCACTGAGTAGGAAGAATTCACACTTCTAAAAGTAAATTCTTCCTTTTCCTCCAGTTGATGCCAACAGCTGCGCTCCAGGGAAGCAGTTCTTGAGTGCCCTTACCCAACCATGGTGGTATAGCTCATGAAGCAAACTGAAGTCAAGACCATTGACACCAAAAATCAGAGGGAGGTTGCAAAAAGCAATGCTATGACTCTGAACTGGATCCAGGAACGAGCAAGCACCACACTGCTGTCATTTCTCGGTCAGCCACCAGTGGGAGGCAAGTGCTTACCATGCACTGAAGTGCTACCTGCAGCCCAACTTTCTGCAGGGTAGCTACACATACAGCCCCTGCAAAGAAGGTGGGGATCGCAGACATTTTCATACATGTTGACCACCATCTCCACTTCAGGAAATATCAGTTTCTTTTACAAATGAAGAGAAGATCAAAATTTCAAAGGTCATCTTGCTAATAAACTTGTGACTGTAAGCTCAGCTGGCCACAATATTGTTTAACAAGCCACTAGTTTTTACACACAGCACTTACTGCTGTTCAAAAAAAGCAGCGAATAAAACAGACAAGGAGAAGGAAATGTTATCATTTGCTTTCCACTCATCTAAATCTGTCCCCATCAGGCTAATGTAAGTTTTACTATTTATTTACAGAAGGTTAATTGGTCCAAGGGGAAAAAAATTACCCTCCTTTCAAAAATTTTCAGCCCATTTAAAGTAAAATTGCTGGAATCACTTTTGAAATATTAATGCTGGCTGTTATACATTTGTCCCCAAATACTCTTTTTTTTTTTTTTTTGATGACACTACAGTGGCAGTTTTGGAATCTCAAAAGTAATCATATTAACATGTTGTCTTATTCAACTACACAAAACTGGTAACATCCTCAAAGAAAAAGTGACAGTGTTGTTTCCATCTCATACAGAAAAGGTTGTAAAATGACTTTACTTATTTCACTGGACTACTTAAATATCCAGGTATGTACTTTTGCCCACATTGTACCTAGCCACTTCAAAACCAACATAAACCCACACAGTTCTTAAAGGCTTATCCTCTAGCAGGGAAGAAGTTAATGGGGTGATATGTTTGAGGCTGGACTTGGCAAATCCCACCTACCTTCAACTGGAGTTTTAGGTAGTCAAACAATCAGGCTCTCTCTGCATCCTTTATGGAAAGAAAATAGCATTCCCTGTGCTACAGAACGACGGCAGTATCTTTTAAGAATGCATCACTAGACAGGTGCTAAAATAAATGAAGTGTTCATGGCAAAGTATAAATGAAAAATCATATACACTTTCCTTTTATAAGTAGGCAGTAATGCATTAGCAGAATTGATTTGAAATTCCTTATTTCTGATGCTTTGGACATTCACAGCCCCTATCCATCCCATATGCAAATCTATGTGATCTGACATCTGCAAAATGAGGACCATACAGGAACACATAACCACCACGTAAGTGGTCAGCTCAGCTCATAACAAACATGTTACCTGGCCAGTGACAAATATGAATTTTTCTGAGTGACGTACAAAAGCTTTAGCCAGGAATCTTGTTTTTCCCCTCCACCGCCTCTACCCCTTATACCTTTGCTATGTACCTTTCGGGATCCCAACAGATCAGACAAAATACTTACAAAATAACCCTAGTTCAAGCTCATATCAATGTTTGAAAGCTTAATTCTACAGGCAAAATAGTGTTATTTTAATATAATATTTTATGGTGGAAGAATGTCTATCAGTAATTAAGCTCTAAATAGCTGCAAACAAAACAAATCATTTTTGTTCCTCCCATCCTGAGGAACACCACAGCTCAAAATTTCAGCATGTTAAAAGCAATCAAGATCCTACAAAATCCAGAGAGGTAAACTCAAACTTAGTTGCCATTCAAGCAAACACATATTGTGAATAGTCCTAATGATTTCCAAGTAGTTGTTCACAGGATAAAGGTGATAAGATACACTGACAGTTAGAGGGTTAGAAATCTAAGGTTCCCAAAGTCCAAATACAAAAAAAATTGTTTCCCTCAAATGTGATCGCAGTCATGACACTTAAAATTGACAGAACACTATTTTTTACAACTTGCTGAAATTAAATTTCATTTTAGAATTCAGAGCAGATATCTATCGGCATCAATCTTGCATAAATTCAGTTTCTTTCCGTCGCATTTTCATATAGAGAGTTTGGAGCAGGCACAACTCCAAAATATCCCCATGTACATTCCTGATTTTATGAAGGTGATGTTCATTCAGTATCCATAGTACTAAATAATAATACTGGGTAATACTAGCTGTTATTGTCTAGCTAGTATCATGAGCATAACCAAATGAACAATAAGCCAAAGGTCAGGATATTTCCTATTAAACAGCTACCTTCATCAGGAAATATGTTTGGAAGCCTGTTTTGTACTACACTGCTACATTGTCTAATGCACCTTCTCATGAGAAAACAACATCATTTTCTCAAAGTTTTATATAAATTTCCCTTCCACAACTTAATAGGATGGTGGGACTCTTAGCAGTGGAAAAAGCTATAAGAACAAAATTAACAGTTTTTATAGCTAAAATATCCGATACCTGCACAATCACGAATGCTTATCTTTATACTTCTCACTAACCTTCAGTCTTCTTAACAATGCACACATAAACTCAGTACTTGATTTCAGTGCTGCTGTAAAATGACATACCAAAATCAAAGCTTCATGTTTCTATCATAACAGGCACTGTGCTGCTAATTGAGTTTCATTATATACTTGGTTTTAATTTTCTGCTTAGCAAGGATTGACTGTTTCTCTCTTGACGTAATATTACCATACAGAAGCTTCTCTCTTTCTCCATATGATATGCTCTTCTATGTACAAAGCAGAATTTTCTTCCTTATTTTGGGTCAAATTCCACCCTTGCCTAGTAAAACATGACCTAGCTTAACAGTGGCCACCATATGGCTCTTAAATCCAAGTAGGTCTCAAGGCACTTTGAGTGCAGATCCTGCATTGAAGCGACAACACAGCCAAAAGCTGGACAGCTTGGCAATATGAATCCCTTGTGACAAGAAAATGCTAGCCAGAGGTGCCCAAGGCCAGTATCACCCCGATTGCTTTAGGATCTAACTATATGCTCAGCCCATAGCAGAGTTTGTGGCCTCTAGAGAGCTACTGTTCTCTCTCCTCCACGAGATGCTCCTGAACCTCCTCCCACTCATCGACCCACTTGTTCAATATATACAGGTCTCAGACATACAAAGATTTTGCCACATACCAAATACAGGCACATTTGTCTGTGCCCACTGTGGTGCATTAATTTTTAATACTTCAAGCTTTATACATTTTATGGTTTACTTACAAGAGAATATTGAAAGGATATTAACAAATATTGCTTCCAAAATGACTGAATTTTTGCTAGTCACAGCAATACTCCCACCTGTGATTTTAAAACTAACCAGTAAGAAAGTATGTAATACCTATACCACCAAAAATATTTTAAGCTGCATAATAATATTTGACACAATTCCAGATGTTCTTATGATATCAGTATTCATGACACACAGCTGTTTGGCATTGTGTGTGTGAGAGAGAGAATCTCTAATACTTACAGCCAATCATCATCATAGCAACAGCAAAGATCTTCTCCCCATCTGTGGTCGGAGCAATGTTCCCAAATCCAACACTCGTGAGGCTGGTCATTGTAAAATACAACGAGGAGATGTAGACGGAATCTTTGCTTGGTCCGCCTTCCCATTTTCCAAAGCCTGATGCGTTAAAGCGGTAAGGTGTTCCTATTGACATCCCCAGCTGATAGAGCCAGCTCTCCATTCGGATCGTGTTTGTATCCTCATCGATAACTTCATAGTCTCCTATGCTGTACCAAATGCAGGCCAACCAGTGTGCTGCAAGACCAAACACACACACCAGTAGAACCAAGACTGCTGCGCCGTATTCAATGTAGTGGTCCAACTTCCGAGCTACACGACCCAGCCGAAGTAGCCTGACCACTTTAAGTGAACTGAAGAGGCTACTGATGCCCTAGAAGGATAAAGCACAGTGACCATTAGCATTTAATATTAAAGCAGCATTATTCATAACTGCAGTTTCCAAAGACACGAGGTGATCCATAACAAATAGGTCATCAGATAACACTTGAAAAGAGAGATGGTGAAACATGAAAAGGTTAGTGATCCTCTTCAGGGATGGACATACGTACTCTTGTCTTCATCCACTATTTTGTGGGTTGCTTTCTGAACTCCCCTTTCAGATTATTTGAATATATATTGAATATACAAATACATTTGTAAAGACTTCAAATGACAGGCTATTTCTTGCATGTCCAGTTGTGCAAATAGACCACCCCTGAGCATCCAGACACTACTTTAGGCTGACTGAAAATAAATGTGGAAGTCACTGATCACTAAACTATACAAATCTAATGTTGAAAGGAATATAACCAGACACCTATTGAGTTCACTCCAGCACCTGGAGTCATGAACCTCTTACAGCTATTCCTGGCTTCCTTATGATCCTGGGCAATGCACGTCCTCTCACGCCTCAGACATAACACAGTTCGCAGTATTTAGCTCAAACATACCAGGAAGATAAATAAAGCAGGCAAAAAAATACTGGAAGTACCTGGTGATTTGTAATTATTCAGTGTACCAGCGCATTTCCTAGGACTTTACTTTCATATAAGAATTCACGCACTGATAATCAGTCCTCTGACATTTCTCACTCGGACAACACAAAGCTTAACTATTTCAAATATCTCACTGTCTAATCCCCACGTCATACTCTTTTTGACAGCTTTGTTATCAATGTAGTATTTCTGTGCTGATACTAATACAGCCCCCATAAAACAGAATTAAGCCAGCATGCAGGATTTTGTATTGTTATCTTTCAGACAGATTTGCAATTCTATGCATAAGTTAAATAAAAAAAAAAAATTCAAAGCCATTTGGGGCACAAGAAGATCTGAATAACCTTTCGTAAAATCCTTTTTTTTTTTTTTTTCCCTACTCCCTCTTATCAAGACTGTTTCATATACAGAAGTCTGATTAAAATTTAAGCAGACTGGTTTAATGAGTATTTCTGGAAATGCATAATTGCATACTTCTGGTCACCAGCTTTTACTGGAAGTTTGTTTATTCCTGCATAAATATAACTGCTTCAGTATCTTAGGCTGGTTCAATGCACTAGAAGAGATGTTTTATTAAACAATTACATAAACCATATTGACTCATGTTCCCCAAGACTGCAGCAATGTATTTCCCCTTTCTTTCATGAATTTGTCATGATTATTTTGACTCATTTTCAGAGACAGATGTAGTTTGTTACCTGGGAACACACTATCAATTTCTATTAAGTATTTAGACAAGATCTAACACAAACAGGGGGAGGGGAGTAAAAAGGAAGAACAAAGAGAAAAAAGCAGCCTTCCTTTAAATCAGAGATACTTGCAGAGATCTAAAGAGACCAAGTGATCTATTCTTTTAATGATTATCTATGCCAAATTTTTCACTGATGCAAAAATTCCTTCACAAAATTCCTTCCATTCCAAAAATTCCTTCCATTTCCCATTCGTTCCATATCCAGCTTTGTTTTGTAAACAATGGAGCAAAGCCTTGATGCCAATTCAGAGAATATGAGGACACAGAAGGCATAAAGCCTTCATTTCCAGGGGAGGGAAAGCGGGTACTTCTGAACACTCAGTATGGAGAGGAAAAGCAAAGGAGAAACCACAAAAAACTGTCACACAATAGCTGTATTTTAGAACTGGATATGCAAGTCCCTGAGTGACAAGTACATATAGTCTCTACATTCTAAATATCCACATTCTGATATTACAACACAACTTTCTGGCCTTTTTCCTCAGGACCAATACCCATTTCTCCCTTTCCTCTTTACAAATTTTAACAGCAACCCAATAATGTTTTACATTTTGAGAGGTCTCCAGTAATGCCCTGCTTTTAGCTTCAGTCTCAAACCCAAGGTTTTTTAATCACACATTGCTTACAGGTCTCAGGCAAGTGCAGGAAATTTTTCAAACCCAACATTCTAAAAACCAGTTTTATTTTTGCTCAAAAATAGTGGTGCAAAACTTGTTCTTAAAATTAAAACTCATTACTGGGATTTTAAATAAATAGATGCTGTTTGTCAGTAAGAGTCCTACCAAAGACAAAAATAATAATGATTCAGGAAAGACTTAAAAGTTTGGAATTTGGATAATTCTTAATTGAAAAAAAAAGTCAAGGATCAGAAATTCTTGGGGGGGGGGGGGTGTTATCACAGAAGAGGAGTTTAAGAAATTTGATATGAAAAATGGGAATACAAAATAAAATATTTGAAATTGGATTTAAAATGTTTAAGGCAAACTGCTTTCAGGGTACTCTTATCTTAATTTCCCTTGTGAAATTCCCAAAAAAGAATTGTAAAAACATTTAAAATGTTTTTTATGAAATGCAAATGAACTGCATCATTTTGGAGAAAGTGATTCTACCAAATTCTGATCAGAGGTAGAGAGAATTAGGTTTTTTGTACAAAACAAATCTGCTTATTTACAGAAAATAAATACTTGATTTGTTTGTGTCGAAAGGATGCATTTAATATTAAATTAGTCACAATATTTCACCTGACTGCATTGCCAATAAGTTTCTAAAAGTTCAGAAAAAGCTAAAAAAAACCCAAACCCACCCTAATTACTTTTTATTTCAGCATTAACTATTTTTTATTTGATTTCCTCAGAGGAAAGGATTTGTCTATTCTAAATGGATCAATATCAAGAAGAAGAAATGCTCAGGGAAATGATTATTCATATAACTCTCTTAAAAATTTCTAAGTGACAGAATTTCAAATGGGTATAAACAATGGGAAATTTATAGACTTCAATACAGTAGAAAGAAATTAGATTATTCTCTAATACTTTATTGTCACTAAATTTAACAAGTAATATTTTAATACTCACAGGAATAGGTCTGCTAGATTCAAAATTGACATTTTTAGATTACCACTTTCCAAAATAGAAGTGTACTTTTACATTACTGTCCATTTTAATGCTCTCATCAGTGCAGATTATTTTTATGCTTCTATCATACAGATGGCTCCAAGATGTCATGCAAAAGAGCCCGAACTCAATTCACTCCTCTTGATGTGTGTCCCACCCTATTAGCTCTGCTACTCCTATAACCTTTGAGAGACACCCAGAGCTCCTTCTGCCCAAAAGGAACAGATGAACCTCAGCTCATAAAAAGTTACAATTGCACTATGGGTCCCAAATGGGCACCCCCAGATGCTCTGCTCTAAAGGATCACCATAAGGAACATCTGTGTGGCAGGCAGGGAAAGAACAAGACTAATATCTCACAAAGTCCTACCTGGCCTGATTTACTTAGACACAGTCCCAACTATTAGTACTGTATCCAACAGAAACCTTCCCCTGGAGGTATGCAGAAGCTAAGAAATCTGTTATATGGCCAGGGTAGACAAATACTACATTTTTACTAAATTTTGATACAGAGAAAACTTGCGCGCAGTGCTTACTTAAATATGCAGCTTTTAGTCAAATATGGCAGAAAATGCTGAATTTCACTCAAACTTGTATTTCAAATTGCTTGAAGTAACTAAATAACACTAAAGATTCTACTGATGATACCTGCATATAGTTGTTGACAAATATTTAATAGGTTGGCAGGTTTACTTTCATTGCCAGTGATGGCTGATGCATAAAAATGGAAGAATCTGTAGCAAGTTCCCTCCAAACCAAAGGGCAAGCTCAAAGCACTGAGAGCCAGAAGAAATAACTCTGTATTAGCTTATTGAGCAAACCTGAACATCAAAAGTCCTTAAAATAATAAATACAGCTACTCCCCCTTCCTTCCCTCCTACGCCATCTTTGCAGTGGAACTGCACCTCAAACACAACAGAAAAACAGACCAGCCTCGGTCCTAGAGGAAAGCAGGACCCACATTTTACATTCAAAGAGAATGCTTCATAAGTTTGTCCATGAAATACTGCCAAAAATAAATTTCCATGTATAATTGGTCATTAATTAGACCCACTCACTAGATATTGTGCACATTTACACAGATTGTCTTTTGTATCTCCTTGTTTTCTGCAAGACATGATCTACTGTCAGTGCACCCCTTGTCTCACACTGGTATCTCAGCCACATAAGTAATCATCTTTCCAAACATAGGATCCAGGATAACCACGTCTTGGCTCTAGCTTTCCATCAGACAATGTAAGACTTGTGCCATTACTTCCATATCCATAAAAAGAGATAAAAAGACACTGTGATGAAGGACTTTGTGAAATGTTTCGAAAACAGAGGGGCTGCAAGCAGAGTAATTATTAGTTACTTGTGTCATTAAGGTCCCCAGGAACAGTAACAGTGGACACTACAGTACTAGATGCTGTACAAAATAAACAAACAGTTGCTGCTGTTGATTTGCCAAGCAAAGTAAATTCAACTCAATTAATCAAATAATAAAATTCCACCTAGAAATAACAAACCACAAATTGTTTAAAGAACAGCAATAAAAATTAACCACAGCCAAAAAAAAAAAAAGTGAGAAATAATCCATTTTCCTTCCAAACAAGACGTAGCATGAACAACTTCAGAAAAGGAATAAAATGCAACTTTCATCCCACCTCCTACAGCTGTAGTAGCACTAGAACTTTAGTAATAGATTCAACCTGCACGACAGTACTCACTTTTTAGGCCATTATTTACTTTTCCTGTGTACAGAAAGAAAATGCACTTAACCCAAGCATTAAGGTTTTTTCTAGGCTCAAAGGAAGTATAATTTACTTCCTATTTACTATCTTTTTTTTAAAAAAGAGAAATATTCAGTATTGGCACAAGTCTGTTTTAAGTTTTCCAGCACCACCTTCTCATACGAAACTGCTAAAGTTCAGGCTTCACCTCAATTAATGGGAGCTGCAGGAGACCAAGAGATAACCATTAACAGAATAAGAATAAAAGAGAACCAAAAAAAAAAAAAAAAAATTTTCCAAAAAAGGGAGGCAATGAGCCAA